GTAAGATTAGCCCTCTCTAGCACTGGAGAATCATTTGGAAGGGTTTGTTTGGTTAAGGCCGTAATTTATTTATTATTTATTTCACATATTTGTATCCCACCCTTCTCACCCTAAAAGGAAACTCAGGGAGGCCTTGCAGCAAGCAGCAATTTGATGCCAATACATATAAATATAAAATAAATACAATCACTTCCAACTCTTTGTGACCTCATGGACCAGCCCACGCCAGAGCTCTGTTGGCTCCAAGGTCCCACTGGACTAGAGGAGATCTGTTTAGATCTCATCCTAATCAACAGCAATGCCTTGATCAATAGGATGGAAATAATGGGACCCGTAAGTGGAAGGGACTCTTCTAGAGTTTGTTGTGCAGCAGAAAAGGAAAGCCAAACCTAGCCAGATACTCATTCTAAACTTTAAGAAAGCTGGTAAGAGAAATACTGGGTCAGGAATACCAAAATATGGGTGTTTACGACTTGCGAGAGTTGAACACTCACTGGTGGTGACTGTTTTGGTTTAGGAGTTTTTGGGTCCCTGGGAACTGGAATTCCATGGCAAGAAAGACAAGCAAGGCATGGATTGCTAACCGGGCAACGTCCGTTTTTATTCCTGTACATTTACATACAAAGTTGTTTCAGTAGGTACACCGGATGTAACATCATGCAGACACTTAGCTTTTAAGACTGTTCTTCAGTAGTTGATTTTTTTTAAGCTTGTGCCATGAAGAAGCACCAAACTACTCATGATCAAAAAAACCCCATACAGTAACAACAATTAGTCAATAAAAACTTCATCAGAAATTGGGGGGAAGGGGAAGGGATTCTCACCCACTACAGACATTGCACACTACTCTGTTCCCAAAACGTATTTGTACACACTATATTGAAAAATGAGGTTCTGTTAATTAAAAAAAAATCAAGTGTGAAGATCTGCCACACTTCACGGTTGCCTTTCTGACCCAGCTACAGATGCAACTTGTTATGACATTCAGAGTTTTTATTTTTTTATGGCACTTCTGCATTTGATGATTTTTTTTTCTCCCTGTTTGTTTGGCTTTTAGGAACTGGCAACAAAAAATGCAATACTTCCAATTAAATAACCTAAACAAATGCAGCCAGTACACTCAAATAGGAATCCTTTCGCACAGAATAAAGTGGTTTTCTATTCCATCTTTATAGTCTTTTTGTAACACAATTTGCACTACAAAGTTGGTTTTTTTCTCAGTTTAATCCAGATAATAATTTCAAATCTGTTAAACAGTTTTGAAACAAATATTGTAAATGCCTCTTAATTAGAGTAGTAATTTAAATGCTATATGGATTGGCTGAACTTGGCTCAGAAAAAAAGCAGACGAAACAAGAGCTAAGTCAAGAATGTGGGATATTGGTACTTTGGGTGTTGTTAGACTTCATCAATGAAGTCTAACAACCAATGAACCTTCACCATTAGCAATGGTGAAGCCTGATGAGAGTTTCAGTGCAACATCAGGAGAGCCATATTTTCAACCCTGTGACCTGAACACAGTACACTGACCAGTGTTGCCCTTATTAGGATGCAACTGAGGACTCATTCCCCTTAAGAATGTAAATGCCTCCAACTCTTGGGATGATAGTTCTTGAACAAAGACCCTGGGGGTTTCTACAAGGCCTGCCAACTGCTCCATGCCATCCTTAATCATCAGACAAGGATAAAGGACTAGTCTGGGAGGGGGCAACTACATCTTCCTGCGTCTAATTGGAGTGCAGTTCACTTAAGGCCTAACCCCCAGCAACGTCCATGGTAAGGGATACTGGGAATGATAGTACCATGTCTGGAAAGGATGTTATCCACCTTACTCTACAGTGGTTAGTCTTTGCTAGTCTCAGTGTTTTACTTCTAGGACAGAATTTGCTTTTGGTAAGCTCCTCACTAGCCTAGAATCATAGAGTTGAAAGAGACCTCATGGACCATCCAGTCCAACCGCCTGCCAAGAAGCAGGAAAATCACATTCAACGCACCCCCAACCATCCAGCCTCTGTTTACAAGCCTCCAAAGAAGGAGCCTCCGCCACACTTGGGCAGAGAGTTCTGCTGAACAGCTCTCACTGTTAGGAAGTTCTTCCTAATGTTCAGGTGGAATCTCCTTTTCCTGCTGTTTGAAGCTACTGCTCCGCATCCAAACAGTCTCCAGGGCAACAGGAAAAAGAGTCTGCTTCCTCCTCCCTGGCTTCCCCTCACATATTTATACATGGCCATCATGTCTCCTCCCAGCCATCTCTTCTGCAGGCTAAACATGCCCAACCCTTTAGAGAGCTGTCCCAATCAGAACAGTTTAGGATGGTTCACCAGAAACTGACCATAATACATGATAGAGAGCTAGGAAGAGTTGACCTTTGGCCTCGAATTTTCAGGCTCCTCTTAAGAAATTCTGGAATGTGTAATCCAAAAAATAACTTCTGACATGATGTGGGCATGCCTGCAGCTGCACAACTACAAGCTGTTATGACGTAGACCCCATGACTGGCCTTTAGATCCAGGCTGATAATGGGCCTGATTTTTCCGTGGCATTGCACACTTGTTCACCTGTCAGAGGAAAATGTCACCAAATTTGTGTTTGATGCCAAAAGAATACCTTTAACAAGGTGTCCAAACATTCCCTCTTGTGGGGTTGGTGAGGAATTATGCCTAAACGCCATGCCCACTGTTGCCAATGCACCCGATTGTTCTCTGGGAAATGTGCAAGGGAGTCACGTGGGCACTTTACTGCCAGAGATAGCTACTCAAAGCAGCATGTGAATATAATTCCTTGACAAAAGGAAGAACCACCCAAGTCTTAAGCAGGGTTAGGACCAACTCCCAGATGCCTAAACCAACATGGATCAATGTAAGGAATTCTGGGAGCTGCAGTCAAAAGCATGTAAAAGGCCAAAGGTATCCCACCCCTAGTTTGAGGAAGCTAGACTGAAGACAAAGGTTTTTTTAAAAAAATAGTGCCAAAACAGCCATGTTCTAGAAGCCAAACTCTAGTCCTCCAACTGTTTTTGGATTTCAATTTTCAGCAACCTTAGCTGCTTTGGCCTATGATCAGGGATTCTGGAAACTGTTCTCCCTAAAGTAGATGCTAATTTCTTTTTACTCCAGCAGAATATTGCGGGACCTTGGAGGTACATAAAAATACTGCAAAGCTTGTTTATTCAAGTTGTACCACCATCACTTTATTATAGCTGTGTGATGGGAAAAATATGTCTGGTAGTACTATCACAGAGTTGGGTTTACACTCTGCAAAATGGAACGTGAGCAAGTCCCACACGTTTCCCTGACAAAAGTCAGGTTACACCTATGGAATAGGTAAACGATGTACAATGAAAGGTCTAAGCCAGTGGTTCTCAACTTGTGGGTCCCCAGATGTTTTGGCCTTCAACTCCCAGAAATCCTAACAGCTGGTAAACTGGCTGGGATTTCTGGGAGTTGTAGGCCAAAACACCTGGGGACCCACAGGTTTGAGAACCACTGGTCTAAGCCATGGATAACCAGTTCAAGACCCTTTAGTTTTGATCTGGACTTCAAATCTCTGCATATTTATACCAGAGTGTATTGGCTGATGAGAGTTGTTGACTCACATGAGCCCACCTATGGTCTACCAAATAACTGACAGACAGCAATACTCAGTAGACACATATAAAGAAAGGCCCAGAAACCAAATGCTGGACTGACTGATCCAAGTAAATATAAATATGAAAAGGAAGCGCTCAATATTTGACATACTCAAATGGGTTGGGGACTTGTGTCTTTGCAAGTGGACTTCTGTCTGTGAATTGGAATTGGGGCAGTACCATCATATCCAGAAAAAGACTCCGGTTGTATTTCTACATAGGGAGGCCACAAAGTTTATTTTTTTAATGTCAGGAGAGACTTGAGAAATTTTAAGTAGCTTCTGGTGTGAGAGAATTGGCCGTCTGCAAGGATGTTGCCTAGGGGACGCCCAGATGTTTTGATGTTTTACCATCCTTGTGGGAGGCTTCACTCATGTCTCTGCATGGAGAGCTGGAACTGACAGAGGGAGCTCATCCACGCTCTCCCCAAATTCGAACCACCGACCTGCCGGCACAAGGATTTAACCCATTGTGCCACCGGGGGCTCCACGACCCCAAAGTGATTGATGCGTACTGGAACCAACGCACAACAGGGCTGACATACATTGGAATACAATGCCCCTTATACATCTTTGTAATTCACATTTAGGTTTGTTAGTGTTTGGTGGCTATGCATATGCCATGTTATGTAATGTAAACTGTGATGGAGTATTCTGGCCAATGTCTATACATAGAGAGATGGGCATTGGGACACCACAGCAAGCTAAAGCTTGTGGTCCATTGGAGGTCAAGGATCCTTACATTTTTGCCCTGCATATGTAGGGCTTCTAAAAGAGGGTTTGATGGGATGATTAACCCGATTTAATCAGAAGATCCTGATGTTGTCTTCCATCTGTAAACTCAAGACCCACACCCCCACCCCCAGTTGGAAGAGTTACTTTTTTGGATTACATATCCCGGAATCTCTCAGTCAGCAAAACCAATTGAAACCTCCCCAATCTCTGGATGATTTTTTCCTAAGAAGGGGAAAAAAATACTAAATAGGGAAAGATGAAACTGTTGCACAGTACCTTTAGATCAGGCATGAGCAATCTTTGGCCCTCCGGGTGTTTTGGACTTCAACTCCCACAATTCCTAACAGCCTACAGGCTGTTAGGAATTGTGGGAGTTGAAGTCCAAAAAACCCGGAGGGCCAAAGTTTGCTCATGCCTGCTTTAGACTGATTGTGCTGGGAGCTGTCTGTCTTGTAAGCATTCAAGTCATCTAGGTCAGCACTGGAGTATATACTGTGGTGTTTTTTGTGTGTTTTTTTTTTTTTGCCAAGAGAATAATTTATCTTTTTCCTAATCTTTTCATCAAAGCTGTCTTGAATCAGTTATTTAATATAAGTCATTAGGCTAGTTGAAAAAAACAAAACCATTCGGTCAAAGCACTTTGGGAAGGTAACCCAGTTATATATTAAACCAAGAAAACCACAAGACAAGTTGGGGCTGAATTTTGTAAAGTACTAATTCCAAATGTCAGATTTAAGGCCAAAATAAAATCAAAAGGTGAAGGGTATATGAAAATCACCAAATGCTCCTGTCACAGGCTTAAACTGTTCTGTACATATGCTGACACTTTTCCCTCTTGTCCTGCTTGCTTGCAAAGTTGAAGGAGCTTTAACATTTCAACAGGAAAATCACAGCAGATGGTGTAGGTGAGCACAACGGGGACTTCAAAACGATGCTAAAATGCAATAAACTCCATAGGCTGGTGAGTGGTCAACATGATTAGTACTCTAGTCTAAAGATATATGCACAGAGGTGGGAATTAAAAAGCTGTTTTGTACCACATGGACTGCAAAAGTGCTGTGTGTCGGCTTTGCGTGTTGACAATCAATGTTCTTTCTCTCTCTTTTCCCTCTAATGCCTTTCAAGGCCTCGCACATCCAACTTGTCCTTCACAGATCTAACAACAAACTCATTGTTCCTGATACATTGCTTGTAAGAAAAGCATTATATAAAAGGCAAAAGGCATCACACAATTTTGGCACATGAATATTGCACAATTCAAAAGGCCATGGTTTGTTTTTGTTTCCCTCCCAATGTAAATGCAAGGACTGTAAGTGTCTGAACATTAAAAGAATGGAGGAGGGGTGGCCGTTTGGTGAGCAGAGCCAGACGGTTTACTAGAGAGCATAAGAAAGATTGGGCTCACACATTTCCCCCCTGCGAGTCTCACAGCAGTAGTGGCACTCAGGGAGAGAAGACACACAAATCCAGTGTTTCACTTTGTTCTTTTCCTCACCAGGCTTGAGAAAAGATTTCCCCAAGTATCTCTTCTTCTGTATGAAAATTAGCAGCTTTAAGACAACATTATTTTTCTTCTCAAGTACATAAACTTGCATCAGTGCCCCAGGCCCATTTCACCCCACTAGCAAATTTAGCCAGCCAGTGCTGGAGGTTACTACGCTACTTTGCCGTGTGACAAGCAGCCTTGTGTTGAGCTTGGAGCAGGTCGTAAGAACGCAAGAAGCGGTGTGACAGAAGACGGGAAGAGAAACACAGATAAAGTCAAGTCAACAGACAATATTTAGAGCAAAGAAGGGACATGGCAGGGTGGTGGCTGAACAGTGAGCCCTGCCCTTTGCCCGCAAATGCAGGATGTATCTCAAACAAAGTGACTGTGAAATGGCTCAAGACATTACCGCACACTGAGAGGCTGCATTCACTTTTGAAAAATGGCTGTACCACTGAGCAGTCAATCACAAATGGATGGTCTGAGTAGAAGGGGAGGGAGGGCAAACAACTAACTCCAAGTTGCCACACATTCAGAATATTGTCTGGCATGAACCTGGCACTAAATGGCTCTCCTCCCAGAGCCAACATTAAAGAAACCAACATTTTCAGGAGGACAAATGGCTGGCATAACCTATGTCCAGCTCTTGGGGGGAAAGGAAAGAAGTTTAATGTTGCTTCCCAACCCACTGTTCCAAAACACGTTTTATGATGAGGCAAGTTCTGTTGAATTTCAGCAGGCACTACCTCCAAGCGGATTTAGGGTTCAGGGTATCAAGGGTTCAATCAAGTGATCCCATGGGAATAGTTGATTTAATTTACTGGTGGGTGAGAAATTCTACAAGAGCACTTAGGATTTTGATTTGGTGCACTTAATGGCCATTTCCTATAGGTTTTCATATCGAAGATGGCAGCCAGCTGACAATATCCTTGAAAAACTGGGAAAATTACCAGTCTCCATGTGGAGATGGCTCTGGCCATTCTTCTCCAATGGTTTATTCTCCATTTCTCCCACTTCCGTTCCCTCAATCTGAAATTTCAATGTATTGTGTCAGTTCTTTTACAGTATTGTCACATTAAAAAGTAAACATTCTTGGCACACATCTGAATCTATGTTGGGACAGCCAGAAATCCAGTCTTGATGCTTCTTAAACAAGCATTTTGGAGTCCTAGACCCTCTTGGCTATCTCATTTTATTCCTCCCAACTTGGACATATTCTCCTCATCATTATGTCACTTCCTGTTATGTTCAAAACAAGTCATGGTAAAGCATTGGGTTTACCACTGAGCAATGCAGTCTCCCCCCCCCCCCCCCCCCCCCAGGCATTGCTTATCATTAAGAACGAACACTCATAAGACTTCGTTATGGAGAGACATGTTTCCCATTTCAGTCCACATTCCTGATTTCCTTTGGGGTGAATGGGGAATACTTTGCTTGTGCAGAACTTTGTTTGCTGCTTTGATTCGCAGATGACTCCACTTTCTATAAAATTTAGAAACAGCTTTTAAAAAACATATCAGGGCTCACTAACCAAAATCTACTACTGTTATCTAGAATGCTAATTTTGGACTTTTAAGTTGTGATTTCTGTATGAATATTAGATAAACTAGTTTGACGGGAGCAGGAAAGAGACAGGGGGTTGTTGGGTGATTCTGAACAGACTGAGAAAACATCAGTAGTCAATGATTTCACTGTCACAGCAAGACACACCTCATTCCTCCAACAAAAAACACAAAAGACAATTTAAAAAACCCAAGCAAAACAGAAAACAAACAGAACAAACCCTATGATTTCTTTCGTGGAATGGCTACTCTTCTGGAGAACAAATGGCTTTCATGTTTGTGGTCACAAGAGGACAAAAAAAAAAAAGAGGTGATAAAGTGCTTCATGGAAACAGAAACAAAATCATCAAAATAAATAGAAATATTTCATGGTGGGGAGGAAAGAAATGTTCTGATGTGCTGTTCTCTCCATTCAACTTGCTTTGAAAATGCCTCCCCCCCTCCCCGCCCGGCCCCCAAACAACGGTTTCCAAAGCCAATGTGTTCCAAACATTCCTACAAGAAGTGGTTTGAGCAGCAGAGTCCGATTCCCCTGTGTATCCATCCCTTCTTTCACTGGTCTGTAAACCTGCGGAAAGCCCGCCCATGCCAAAGCGCTCCTCCTCCAATCAGCTACATCGCCTTCATCCCATTGGCCGTGACGCTCTCGGCTGCAGTGTCATTCACGGCAGCTGCTGAATCGTGCAGGCCGGAGTAATCCTTGAGTTCGGAGTTTGTCAGCAGCAGAGGCTGCTCCCCCTTCTTGTGTGGCAGGAGGGGCTGCCGGGTGTAATGTTCGCCATCCGGAATGTTCTCTGGCAAGTTCTGGTTTTTGCTCTCGGGCAACAGAAGGATACAGATGATGCAGATGAGGGTGCAACAGGCAAAGATCACATGATGGAGGAAGTAGCCTTTCTGGTTGTGGAGTTCCATGATGGGCGCAGTCAACATACCAAAGCCAGCGCTGGCTTGCACAAGACCCAGCCCGCCGCCCCTGTGGAAGTAAGCACAGCCTTCATAACCACCAAAGCAAATCCCTTCAAGCTTGCATTCAGTAATATTATAGTATAATATGCACACCTTCAAATGGACAAGGCTACTAATGAAACAGCCACCATCACAAAATGTTGTTTCCCTCTGATATGGTCACCCGTCCTTCAATATGAAGAAAACCCAAGGAAGTACATGGCCATTATATAAATAAAATGAAACAGACATAATCACAAAATGTTATTTCCCTCTGATACGAAATCATCACAAAATGTTATTTCCCTCTGATATGGTCACCCGTCCTTCAATATGAGGAAAACACAAGGAAGTTCATGGCCAATAAAATGATTAAAAATGAAAATAACACTAACAGTTAAAAAACCACATCCCGCAGAATATGGTTTTGAAAAGAATATTTAAAAAGTAAGCAATATTCAAATCAGATCTAGGTGTACCAACCTTGCCCACCAAATGAGAGCGATAGTAGAGGTGGGTGAACCCCAAAGGGCAATTTTCATGTCCCATGGCCTACTCTCCCAAATAAAACTAGAGGCAGATGCAAATGTACTTCTGTTTTTGTAATATTCTCTTAGTCACAGATATAATCTCTTTATTAATTTCTAGGTCCTCCAGCATAACTACATGGTCAACTTTTGGCAAAAGCAGACCATAGAGTCACATTGGAGGACATACAGAATCTTAGAGAGGTATTTTATCACTTTAAAAAGCAGTTTGTTTATTTGTGGTTTTCCCACTTCCACGGTGGTCCTATGCCCCTAAACTCAATTGATGTGGATAGCGAACAATGTTATGTCAGGATATGACAAGCTATAAATAATTTGCAAAAGTAAAAAAGAAGTCTCCCTAATGAAAATGTGTTGACTACTCTGTTTTAAGTATTGTCATAATTATCATCGTTGTCATCTTGTTTCAATTCAATAATAACACTCTGTTCTCTATCCCAAGACAGCTTTAAAAGGGTTGTTGTAGGTTTTTCGGGCTGTATGGCCATGTTCTAGAAGCATTCTCTCCTGGCATTTCATCTGCATCTATGGCAGGCATTCTCAGAGGTTGTGAGGTCTGTTGGGAACTAGGAAAATTGGGTTTATATATCTTTGGAAGGTCCAGGGTGGGCGAAAGAACTCTTGTCTGTTGGAGGTAGGTGTGAATGTTTCAACTGGCCACCTTGATTGGCATTTGATCACTTGACAGGTTTTTGGTGTGGCTTGTTCCTGCCTGGGGGAATCCTTTGTTGAGAGGTGATTGGCTGTTCCTGATTGCTTCTTGTCTGGAGTTCCCCTGTGCTTGAGTTTTGTTCTCTGCTGTTATAATTTTCTACTGATGTCTTGGTGGTGGTCATGGCAAAAAAAAACTCCAGATAAGAAACAAAAAGGAACAGCTAATCACCTCTCAACAAAGGATCCCCCCAGGCAGGAACAAGCCACAACAAACTATCAGGCCATCAAATTCTAATCAAGGTGGCCAAGTGAAATATTCACACTTGCTTCCAACAGACAGGAGTTCTTTCTCCCACCTTGGACTTTCCACAGATATATAAACCCCACTTGCCTAGTTTCCAACAGACCTCACAACCTTTGAGAATGCCTGCCATAGATGCACGTGAAACGTCAGGAGAGAATGCATCTAGAACATGGCCACACAGCCCAAAAAACCTACAACAACCCAGTGATTCCGGCCATGAGACTTCGAAAATACAGCTTAAAAAGGTTGACATGTGAAATTCTCAGCATCCTCACTAGAGGGCAGGCTTTGCTCACACTTATTTAATGGAGAGCAAGATTCTGAACCATTTTAAAAGATCCTGGTTGGAAAAAATATCAAAAGCCACAATTTATTAGCATCATATGACTTCTGTATCAGCCTGCTATATTTCCTATTATAAAAAAATCTGAGGCAGGCATTTAGACAGCAGGGGAATCTTGAATTTAAGAAAACTTAGTTGACCATCTTGGTAATATAGCAGATGATAACATAGATTCTAAAGATACATGAAAACAATACTTTGAGAAAAAGTATGCTTTGCTCCAGCAGTTCTGAAGTGGCCACCCAAAACTTAAGGGAACTTTGGCTTCAAAAATAATGTAAAATTTCTGACATTTTTGGCAGTAATTGAAGAGAGGGTAAAACCATATTGGACAATCACTAGTCTTACACCAACTGCAAAGGTAAAGGTTTTCCCTAGACATCAATTCTAGATGTGTCCGACTCTGGGGGATGGTGCTCATCTTCATTTCTAAGTCAAAGAGCCGATGTTGTCCGTAAACACCTCCAAGGTCATGTGGCCGGCATGACTGCAGGGAGCACTGTTACCGTCCCACTGAAGCGGTACCTATTGATCTACTCACATTTGCATGTTTTCGAACTGCTAGGGTTGGCAGAAACTGGGGCTAACAGCGGGATCTCACGCTGCTCTCCAGATTTGAACCACTGACCTTTTGGACAGCAAGTTCAGCAGCTCAGCAGTTTAACTCGCTGCATCACCAACTGTATAAGCCTGTAATTTGCTTCTGAGAAAATGCTGGTTTTGGCCTAAATTCCTTTACCACAATACTTCAGATTTGTAATTACCTGAGACAGGGATTTCTGTGTATTAGGATTTCATGTGGAACTCCTTTTCAAGGAAGGTCAACCTGGCTCCACCACTTTGGAGCTTTCAATTGCACCTATGGCTGCGCTATTTGCTATGCCTTTTGGCATTATTTTAATGGTGTGTATTTTTTTTATGATATAACAATTATCATTCATAGATAGACAGATACAGACATAGAATAATTAGTGATATTATTATTATTATTATTATTATTATTATTGCTTTTAAGGCTGGCTAAATATTGCAGTCCTAGTAATTAATTTTTGTCATGTTCTCATTTGCCAGCTCCACAGAATGACTTGGTCAGGTCTTTCTTCCAACATGAAGAGAGGTGGTTGACAGTAATAAATTAAGGTATGTCTTGCCAACTTCCTAAACGTTACTTCAGTTACTTCCGAAGAATTATACATGTTGTTAATTGCCACTGTCAACTTGACTTATGGCAACCCTATGAAGAGTGACCTCCAAGTCATCCTTAACAGGCCTGTTCTAGTCTTACAGATTCATGACAGTCGTGGCTTCCTAAACTGAGTCTATCCATCTGGAATGCAGTCTTCCTCTTTTCCTATTGCATTTCATTGTAGCAAGCATTATTGTCTTTTCTAGTGAGTCATATCATCTCATGTTATGGCCAAAGTATAGACAGCCTGAGTTTAGTCATCTCTTGATTTAACTTCCACAGAAGCAATCCCATTCACTCAACTATGACTCACTAAAATCCTTATTGTTAGATTTATCTTGTGGTCAAAGAGGTGAATCCAAAGTATTTGTTACTGCACAGGCTGCTGATTCTCTTTCAACTTGTTTAGATATTTTCTATTCATCCCCTTGCACACACAAGGTTTAAAGGAACCCAAGGGTTTTGTTGCCCCAAATCACGGGACAGGGCCCCCTAGAGTAGACAGGATACCCTTTGTTCCTTGTTGCTAATCTTCTTCAAGGTCACTAAGTGGGCAAAGGGAGAAGAGGTGCCCCAAATGGTGAGAAATGAATGATGCCAACGTTTCAGCCTGTTTGTGAATGCATCACTGCTCTACTCGTTCTCTGCATCTCCCATAATTAAATTGTTCTACCAACCCCCACCCACTTTTGTTGTTTTGTAGCAGGAAACACATAAAACACACACACATATACAAAACACACACCCACTTGCTCCGTCAAGCAGTTTACTGCAGAAGGATTAGGAGTTTCATTTTGTTCAAGTGTTGCAAAGCAGCTTTATAATTAACTCCTTGGCATAAGGAACCAAAATTCTTCAATGATGCCTAAGCTTTTGGCAGCCTCGGACTAAGGGAAGGGATCAGCATACTAAAAAACCACAGCAAATGATGTTATTTCAAAGAGCTTGCACTCCAATGTCTTGCATAGGTGTGTGTTGGAGACCACAAGTATTCCTGATGTTTGAATCTGTTCACAACAGTATCTGTTTGCAAAGAGATTTTCACTTATGACAAAAGAAAATCTACACTCCAGTGAATACTATTGACTTCCTTAATTTTATAAAATTAAAGCTGGTGCTCTACATTTGAAAGTTTAACTCTTGTGGATTTGAATAATATAATCTCTCTAGCTGACCACAGAGTTTCACTGGAAGACCTAGATATTCCTAGAAAGGTGTTCCCCCAGGTAGAAAATAGCAGTTTTTCAGTTTCAGAGCAAAACCGCACTCCTGACCTTTGTGAAAGTGGAAGGCATACAGTATTGCCTTTTGCTTGGTTTTAAAATCATAGAATCATAGAATTGGAAGAGACCTCATGGGCCATCCAGTCCAACCCCATCCCAAGAAGTAGGAAAATTGCATTCAAAGCACCCCCAACTGATGGCCATCCAGCTTTTGCTTAAAAGCCTTCAAAGAAGGAGCCTCCACCACACTCCGGGGCAGAGAGTTCCACTGCTGAACAGCTCTCACAGTCAGGAAGTGTTCAGATGGAATCTCCTTTCTTGTAGTTTGAAGCCATTGCTCCCTGTCCTAGTCTCTAGGGCAGCAGAAAACAAGCTTGCTCCCTCCTCCCTATGACTTCCTCTCACATACTTATACATGGCTAACATGTCTCCTCTCAGCCTTCTCTTCTTCAGGCTAAACATGCCCAGCTCTTTAAGCCGCTCCTCATAGGGCTTGTTCTCCAGACCCTTGATCATTTTAGTTGCCCTCCTCTGGACACAGTTGACATCCTGCTTAGTATACACAAGATCAGGCATCCTCAAACTGTGGCCCTCCAGCTGTTTGGGCCTCCAATTCCCAGAATTCTTGACTACTGAACAAGGTGGCTAGGGCTTCTAGAAGTTGGAATCCAAAACAGCTGGAGAGCTTCAGTTTTAGGCACCTCAGGTAGGCCTACAATTTTGTAACTTTTAGCATTCACATTTACGGGCATTAATGACCAAACATGATGACTAAAACCTAGCTTTTCAGCCAAGTAGCACCCCAACCGAGCAGTTTCAGAGCTTCTGAATGCAGGGATATTGCATCTGCAGTGCCCTCCCCTGGCTTTGTAACAGGCCTTTGAGGAGACTTTCCAGCTGCCTGGTCTCAATGCACCCTGCAACCAGAAGAGCACAGGAGATGTCACTGACCAATGCCTTGATCTGCAATAACTTGGAAACACTTCTGCTGGGGCTCAGCTAGGCTGAAAATGTTGGGATTGGGGGTGGTGTTATCTGAAATAGCTTTGATGACAGAGCTAGCCAACTGTGTGTGCTCAGTAGCATTCGCCTGTGAGACAGGTCTTGTGCAGGGCACTGGAACTGAGAATCAGGAAAGCATATGACAGTGTGACATTGGGACTCCTGGAAGAGTCTGGGTGTCCTACCAGCCTTTTTTCCCTCCTCACAGAACCAAAGTAGAGAGTGCAAAACTGCATTTAACCACTATGTAAGGGGAATGTCCGAGTTGAAGTCAGGACTATGGCATATGGGGGCAAGGAAGCAATAAACCTTGCCCATGTATGCTGCAGTCCTCAAACCCCTCATGTCACAGATGTCCTCTCTAGAGGAAAAAAGCTATCATTGATGCAGAGCTTTTCAAACCTTTCATGTTGGGGACACACTTTTTAGACATGCATCATTTTGTGACACAGTAATTCAGTTTTAAGAGATGTAGGCACATACATAAGCTATAATAATTAAATGTATGAAGACACAACGTATCTCATAAATACTTCATTTATATATTTTTAAAAATATATGATTATATCTCATTTCACATAGACTCAGAGGTTTCTTGTTATGTTTGTGTGACATACTTGCACACTACAGCCAACACACAGTTTGGAAAGCTCTGAATTGGTGTTTCTCATGGACTTAAAATAACAACTAGTTTTTTTCAAAATTACCAGACTAAAAAATACCAGAGGTTTAAATTACAAGTGAATTGTCTTTGAAGGTATAATATCTATGGATGTCAGCTCTGCTAGCTTTCCATTGCCATACCTTATCACTGTTGGTGTGATTTCTGCACAGAAAAACACACTGAGACTTCCAACTGCGTGCGATGAAAACATACCCACAATGGAAAATGTAGTGGAGAACTTCTCCTTTACGGTATCACTCATACCTGTGAGACAAATGGAAAATGACTGTTCATCTCGGTTCTACCAGTAACTATCTATAAAACAGACTTAACCTTACTTTGTTAGTAGCAGCAGAGGCAGCGAAAGGAAGATGAAGAACCAAACTGTTAGGTAATAACATCTTGGGTTGTTATGGCAGCACACAGGGTGGGCTCTTTGAATGCTCTGTGCACCAATGGGTGATATCCATGAAAATACCACTTGCCTCCCCTCCCACATACACTAAAAACTCCCATGCTGTACATTAAAGACAATCAAAATCCACAATGGTGACACTCAAAGGTGCAGCTACCTGGGAGTAGGATTGCTCCCTTTCCAAAATTCTTCCACCCCAATTAAGTTTTCCTTCAGCCCTGAAATTTCCAGCATTCCAGTTGACTGTTTATAGAGTTTAGACATTCAAAGAAAAGAGGCAGGTTACGAAAGCAATAGGAACATTGTAAATTATAAAGGGTTTCAGGTATGAATGATTTTAAGTATCTCACCCTCTACAATGTTAGACATTTGGGGACTGAAGGAAAATTTCACTGGAGGAGCGGAATTTTCATTTATGAAGCAAACCTTTCATGCTCCCATTCTGGTGATTAGACCAAACAAAAGACACACACATGTCTCCCTGGAGAGATAGGGAGGGTTACAAATAAAGTATTATTATATACACAAAATGTAAGCCTTTGAATCTCACCAGCTATTTCATTTGGTGGAGATGGAAGGTAAACAAAATCATGTAAGGGAAACAAAAAATACATTGTTGAAGGTCTTCAGGGTGTGGATGTTATAGGGAGAGTGGGTTTATTAAGGTGGAGACCTCAGTCCCTACCTTCCCAAAAAGAGAAACTGAGGCACAACAAAGATGAAGGCTGAAAACAGGCCATTTCTATTCTCCATTGCAGCCATAAACTCTCCTCTTTTGTTCTGACTCTAATAAAATGCTCTTATTTTCCAGAGTTTGTGACCTTTTTGGGAAGATCCTCTGTTACCAGGTCTGGACAAAGAATTAGATAAGATCACAAGACATAGACCCAACTTTAAATCTGTAAACTCTCTTTCTCCTGCCTTATTTTTCTATATTAGTTCCTCGGTGATGATGCCAGTGAGTTTTGGAAGCTACTATAATGGATTTGTGGTTTTATTTTGCATCTTCTGACTAGTCTAATATAATGGTACTGTCAATGTGTATTTTCAGTTTTGTTCCCATCCACCCAATCGCTGGCTCCAAACCCATGCAAATTCTCTTTCTCCACAGTTGTGAATAATCTGTTATCCTCTAGACCAGGGGTCCTCAAACTAAGGCTCGAGGGCCAAATATGGCCTTCCAAGGTAATTTGCCCGGCCCTTGCTCAGGGTCAACCTAAATCTGAAAGGATTTGAAAGCACACAACAACAAAAACAATCCTATCTCATCAGCCAAAAGAAGGCCCACACTTCCCATTGGAATACTAATAAATTTATATTTGTTAAAATTGTTCTTCATTTTAATTATTGTTTTGTTTTAAGTGTTTTGCACAACAAATAACATACAGTATATTCTGGCGTATAAGACTACTTTTTAACCCAAGAAAATCTTCTCAAAAGTCAGGGGTCGTCTTATACGTGGCTGTAGTCTTATGCATGGGAGTCGTCTTAACTCTATATTTTAACTGGAAAAGTTGGGGGTCGTCTTATACACCCAGTTGTCTTATATGCCGGAATATACGGTATGTGCGGTATGCATAGGAATTCATTCATGTTTTTTCCAATTATAACCTGGCCCTCCAACAGTTTGAGGGACTGTAACTTGGCCCTCTGTTTAAAATGTTTGAGGACCTCTGCTCTAGACTGAACAAATAATAGAAAAAAGTCAGGTATTTGCAGCTAAAGAGGCAGGGCAATGCAAATTGGAGGATGTGTGTTTTTCAACAACTGTGTTTATCAGAGACAGATTCAGTGAACATGGCCATTCATTTCTAGGAAGAAAAGTAAAGGGTTGCCCTCTGGAAATGGTTGCAACCAGATCGGAAAGGTTATTACTATTTTTTGTTTTGATGACAACCACTGAATTCAGAATCAACTTGGCCACTGGCTATATCAATCGTGGGAATTCAGGAAGCAGTAGTATGAAAAAATGCTTTTCAAATAACAGTTGTGAATAAGGGCAAAAGAAAGCAGAAGGGGTTGAACCTGAAAAGGTTATTCACAGTCTGACATCAAGTAATGCACAATTCAGATGATTAAAACCCAAAATCACATAGAAAAAGATAGACTGAAAACTGTACCTGAGTCTGGAAGTTGACTGTATTTTCCTATCACTGGATTCATAACCATGAATGGGTTGAAACATAAAAAAGAAAAGAAAAGAAAATAGAAGAAAGCAATGAAAGGCAGTCATTTTAAAACATGATAAATTAAACCACTGGCTACAACCTCTATCCTTTCCAGGTAGCATGGCCAATGTCATGATTGTTGGATTTCAATCTGACACTTTTCTATCTGGAAAGTACCTGATTGGGGAAGGTTGGTTTCAAAGATTAATTACAGTGGTCCCTCAATTATTGCGGGTGTTACATTCCAGGACCACCCGCGATAAGCGAAATTCCATGAAGTAGGGACACCAACTCCCCTTCCCTCCCTTTACCCCTAAAATGTATTTGTCCTTCAATGGACAGAAACATTTCCTCTCCATAAACCCCCTGGCAAGAAATGCTAATTTCTGTCCCTTTCCCTCCAAAAAGGATAGGATTCTAATGAAACAATAACAATAAAATGCAGGCTGGTAAATGAATCCAGGTGTAGAATTAAAGCAGAAACTAAACAAAAGCCATTTTGAAAAGTTAATTTTTTTTTTTAAAAAAAGAGACATTCTTAGGTTGCTGGAATACTCAGGAAACCACTGGTTAAAAAGGAAGTTTCCAAGAATTTGATTATGAGGCAGGAAGACTCGTGGCATCTATGCAACTTGTGAACAGAATTCCTTTAGTAAGCATGGAAGACTCTGAGGGAATTATCATATATTAAATAAAATTTAGAGAGCAAAGTAAAATCTGGGCTAGTTTCAGCTAACCCTTTGGTGGCTTGTTGTGTCTGGATTGCTTGTATGTTTTGGCTGAGATATTGCTCCCACAGCTGTTCCTTTAGGATAGTGGTTCTCAACTTGTGGGTCCCCAGGTGTTTTGGTCCGTTTACCAGCTATTAGGATTCCTGGGGGTTTAAGACCAAAACATTTGGGGACCCACAGGTTGAGAACCACTGCTTTAGGGTGATGGGGAAGGTATATTTAGTTTAGTATGGATGTCTCCCACCAGAACTGTTTTCAATTGTGAAAGCCTTGTGGCATTCAACAACCTGGTAACAATTTTCATCCTCTTCAATCAACAAGTTCATGCTGCCTGGGGATGATGGGAACCATTGGGCAAGCCATCCAGAGGGGCACACAGAGAGACTGTTCAAAAACACTTGGATCTGTATCCTTCATTGAATCTACCCAATCTAGATACACAGCATGCAGCCTTTTGTAGAACCGAACATAAATCTTGGAGAGATTATGTTTTATGACTTCCAAGTGGCCAAGTGCAAACACAGAGAGTGATGGCCTTGGCTCTAAGGGGAGAAAGTTCTAAGGAGGCACTTGCACTGCGATTAATTATTGCTGACACACACAGGACTGCCTGACTGTAACTTGCTATTTATTTTTCAGAAAGCCTGGGAAATTGTCATTGCAAATTGTCACTGAAAATGTACTTGTGTGTGTGTATATGTATATATATGTATATGTGGGAACCCTTCCTTTTGCCATAGCAAGGTCCAGCCTACATGGTTTTTGTACTCCAATGCATTGGGAGTTCCCTTATCACTTTGTGGCTCCATTGATATTTTTTCTCAGGATACTTAACTATTTTTGTGTATGTGTGTGTGTGGAGTCTATGAATGGGAATTATTTGGCAAATTAGAGCCAGATGTTTGGTATAATGAAATTGGCAAGAGAAAATGTATATATATTTACATCTGCATTATCTCACCTCAATCTCTCTTTTACAAATTGACTAACATCCTGTTAGTGGCCTACGTGCATATACAGTTGGTGAGCCCCCAGTGGTGCAATAGGTTAAACCCTTGTGCCGGCAGGACTGCAGACTGACAGGTCAGAGGTTTGAATATGGGAATATGTACCCCATGCAGGTACATGAGAGAAGCCTCCCACAAGGATGGTAAAACATCAAAACATCCGGGTGTCTCCTGGGCAACGTTCTTGCAGACTGCCAATTCTCTCACACCAGAAGCGACTTGCAATTTCTCAAGTTGTTCCTGACATGATATACACACACACACAGTTGGTCCTCCTTATACATGAATTCAGCTTCTAAGAATTCAACCATCCAAGGTTTGAAAATACATTATTCCAAAAAGTAAACCTTGATTTTGCTACTGTATATATAGAACACCAGTTTTCCACACCATTGTATATAATGGCACTTGAGCATCCTTTGATTTTGGAATCCATGGGAGTCCTGGAACCAAATGCTAGTTGATACCAAGGGGTGAATGTATCTCTGGTTTAAACAGGGTGCAGAGAGCTATTCTGTAGCCCTTAACACCCTGTCACAAACCTTGTCCCTGGCAGCTGTCAAGCCTTGGAATGGGCTGCTGCTTACCAGTGGACAGGGGAGGCAATTCAGATAATGAAAAGACAGCTGCTCTGGACTCTGAGGGGAAGAGAAAGAAAAGCGCTGTATCTGTAAGTGCATCTTCATTTCTTTACCCCTCCAAGTTGAGATCAGATGCTACTTCATCATCTGAATGATCTCCCCCTTCCTTTCCCCCATCAGTAAGTAGCAGTGCCCTTTTCTATGGTATGATATCTGCCAGGGCTGTGAAGTTGGGGGAGAGCATGGAATTACACAGCTGGAGCATTATGCTCTGCCTGCTTGGAGTCAAGACTTGGCTGCTGTTAAGACTTCATCGTCCCTGAAGCAGACCATCACTGTGAGTTTACCTGCAACTCAACCTGTATGATATTCACAACTTCATGCACATTTGAAACCTAGAGCTGTGTGAACTGTATCAAGGCATATAATGGTCTCATATCCACACTCACAGTTGAGCAGGCCTAGTTGCAAAAGGGAAGCCAGAGCGGTGAGAATCATGAAGAGCAGCAGCCCCCCTCTTCGCCCAAGATATCCAACCACTGGGCACATGACCAGGCAGGAGATCAAGGCAATTCCTGCCATGGTATAGTAGTCCGCATAGAAATTGTTGGTGAGGGACATCTTATCTTCGTGACCCATCATACTCTTAGCAAAGCAGTGGTGTATCCCAAATCCAGTGAGTCTGTGGGAGGCAAAACAGGAGGGACAAGAGGGTAGGGTCACCAAATACTCAAGCAGATAACAAACTGGCATTCAAGAACTAGACTGCAGCAGAAAATTTCTATGCTAGTCCTGAAATGGATCGAGAGAGAAAAGGCTGAAATGTGCATCAGTGTCTTATTCTTGATTGCTCTTTACTTTAAACCAGGGGTGAGAAGAATTTACCAGAACCCATCTTTTCCCACTGTTTTCAGTAGATTTTTGCTCCCTAAACATTCCCAAGCTCAAAAACCCTAAAGACACCAGATCCTGTTTGATCTTGCATGCTCAACAGGGTCATCATTGGATAGGAGACCTCTAATAAATACCAGGTACTGTTGGCTATATGTCAGAGGAAGGAACTGGCAAAACCACGTCTGGGAATTCCTTGTCAAAGTAAAGGCTATGAAATTCTTGAGGTTGCCATAAATCAAAAGGCAACTTGAAGGCATGTATATACAGTAAACATTCCTAAACCATTTTACCAACAACAGAAATGTAGGGTTTGCCCCCAACACTTCTAACCCAACACACCACATGGAAAATCAGCTATGTTTATTGCATGATGCCACTATCCCACGCCATTCATGTAATCAGGAATAGCAGCAAATTATCAGCATGGTGACCCTCATTATTGCACTGCTGCAAGTGTTTGCACAGCTGCAGTGCATTGGCAATGACCCGCAGTCACACTTCTGAGCAAGAAACAATGTGTAGCTTTTCTGTTTTCAAACATCTGTAAAAATAAAATTTACAATTCCATGAAGTATGGTAGAAGAGCAGGATAATCTGCCTCCTTAAGGAATTGCAGTGGCGCAATGGGTTAAACCCTTTTGCCAGTTAAACTGCTGACCTGAAAGTCGGCAGTTCAAATCTGCGAGATGGGGTGAGCTCCCGTTTGTCAGCTCCAGCTTCTCATGCGGGGACATGAAAGAAGCCTCCCACAGAATGGTAAAATGGATCTGGGTGTCCCCTGGGCAACGTCCTTGCAGACAGCCAATTTTCTCACACCAGCGGATGACTTTGTTGTGGAGAGGTGGCAGACTGGCAAAAGGATATCACGTGACATGTGATAAGGACGGTTTTATGCCATTTGTCACTTCTGTGCAATAGGGAAGTGTTATGTGAGAAAATACCATGATAATGGGTTGCTGCGAGTTTTCTAGGCTGTATGGCCATGTTCCAGAAGCATTATTTCCTGACATTTCACCCACATCTATGACAGGCATCCTCATAAGTTGTGAGGTCACATCCTCTGAGGATGCCTGTCATAGATGTGGGTGAAATGTCAGGAGAAAATGCTTCTGGAACATGGCCATACAGCCTAGAAAACTCACAGCAACCCAGTGATTCCAGCCATAAAAGCCTTTGACAACACATATACCATGCGAATGCTTATATGTTTATTCTGAATTCAGTGCTAGAAAAGATGCCAATGAAAAAAACATAGCCACAACTGACACAATTCATTCCATCTTCCAACAACTGACACTTTTAGAATAAAAGATGTACTGTTCAAAATATTGACTGTCAGAGATATTTCAGCTGCAGGTGACAGCACTGTCAGTCAAGTGGAATAGGTGATTTTTGAGGTACCATCCAATCTATGATTTTATAGCCAACTGAGCAACTTTATCCTTCTTTCTCAAAGAGAAGAGAAAATCTTAGAGTCTACACAGGCTTGATGCAAGAAACTCTAATCACCCTGGGATAACTTATGTACAAACAAAAAAGGAATAAAAAGGAAAAGGAAGATTGATGCCCTGTCTTTTATTCAAACGATCTCCAATATAGCTTGCTGAATAGAGTCTGTCAGACAATGTGCCATTCTTCAGGCAATCATTTTTGCAATCCCAGACAGGTATCAAAAATTAGGTAGTTGGGAACTGTCATTCACCACTGATGGACTATATTTGTTTTGTCAGTCACAACTTAGATAGAAAAGTCTCATTCCTCTGGGATGCATGAGTACCATATGTTGGCTTCCTTGATATATATCACCTCAAAAGTCCTTCGCTGGACCACATAGCCACCTGGCACCCCCAGCCTTGAAGATGGGAAGCACTGCCAACGTCTGTAAGTTGTATTACTTCTTAAATAAGGTTTACACATGGCTCAGCTATGTGTGAAATCATTCAATACAAAGGTTTTTTTGGGGGGGAGGGGAAATAAGGGAGTGATGAGTCATATTAGTTTGTCACAGCAAAAACATCAGAATCAGATTGGCAGACAATTATTCACATGTTTTGGTGGGAGAGGAGCTGCTAAATTACGAAAAGTATCAACTTTGATCATTATCTTGTGGTTGTTAACTACTTGTAGTTGGGTGTAGTTGTCGTTGTAGGTGTAGTTGTAGTTGGATGGTAATATCGACATTCGAGCACATCAGCACATGTATGGTGATGAAAAGCCTTTGTTTCACTGAAATTACAATAATTTAACCTCTAGACAGGGATGGGAAAAGTGTAGCCACCCAAAGACAGTTGGGCTACAACTCCCATCAAACCTAGCTAGCATAGGCAATGGTGAATTATGGTCCAGCATCATCTCCATCCCAGCTCTAAATGAAACCTTCTGGGTGAGGAAATAAGAAAACTAGTGCAGCTTGAGGGGAATAAGGATGTCTGTTGTTTTAGTCAATGCTGGCTTTACACTACCAAAAATGACAAAAAACCACAAAACAAAAGCCTCGTTGGAAAACAATAATGGGGGAATTTTGTGAGGAAATGGAAGATTAGCATAACCCTTGTTTTTTAAATGGCCCCTGCACCTGGGCCTGTGTTTCTACCATAAACATGGTTTAGAAATCACTGAACAATAGAGAAAAGCATCTGTCTACAGCAGGGTTCTCAAACAATGGCCCGCAGGCCACATTCGGCCCGCTGAAGGCATTTATCCGGCCCGCCAAGGAGTAGGCCTCTCTCTCAGTGGAATCAGTCTTTGCTCTGCTTATGCAGAGCTCCTTTCATTCTTTCAGTCTCCCCCTCACGCTCTCTCTCTTTTTCTCCCCGTTTCAGTCTCTGCCCCTTTCCCCTCTCTTTTTCTTTCTCTTTCTCCCCTCTCCTTTCTCCCTTCTCTCTTTCTCCCTTTCTCTCTCTCTCTTTCTCCTCCTCTTCTTTTTATATCCATTACTTCTGTGTAGCCAATATACAGCTCTGAAGCCTCCTCTTGCCATCCAGCCCTGCCTCCTTCCCTCCACCTCTACCTGGGTGCAGGGCTGCAAAGCTGCCCCCCCCCCACCCGAGTTAACAGGAAGGGGACAGTGGGGGGTCTGGCCCTCCAAAGGTCTGAGGGACAGTGAACTGGCTCCCTGTTTTAAAAGTCTGAGGACCCCTGGTCTAGAGAGTACTTTCAGCTCGAGGAAGGGTTGAAACCCTCTTCTCACCCACAAGTCATTCCTTTGTAACAGAAGAATTTCATGAGGAATTTGCTAATACAGATGCATAATAATAATAATCGTCATCATCATCATCATCATCATCATCATCATCATCATCATCATCATCATCATCATCATCATTATTTTATTTCTAACCTGTCCTCCCTCCCTGAAGGGATTCAGGGTAGTTTACACATACAAAAGGTAAATATTCAATGCCATATACAATAATAAAAACAGAAGGATATACATAAAAACATTACACAATGAAATACTGATCATAATTAAAAGTGCATTTAAAATAAGCTCTATGGGAGAGGTGACATTTGGGCCTCCCAAGTACTGTTCAGATAGAGATATAGCTAGGTCCCTGCTGAGCTAAGTGTTTAACCCAGAGGTCAGCTTTGGGGAATGCAAAAGCACCAGATTTTCTGCTAGTCACTTCTTGAGTTTCTACACAAGGTACTGAAACATACAACAATATATTATCTTTACCTCATTTCTGATGGACACTCAATGTACTAGACAGGGACAGAGCTTGTAAAAAAGTCTCTTTTTGATAATTCCACAAATCTTTGAGCCAGCATAGGCAAATAATAAGAGGATGCTTGGAACTGCCTTTTTCTTTTCTTTTATAAATAACATTTTTGAGGTCTGGAAGAAAGCATGACAATACTTACGAATTTACACAGAGCACAACAATATTTTTCCACAGGTTCCTTGTTCCCACAACTTTAACAATGCAGACCTTCTTTGGCCTCCGAGCAAGTTCTTTCTCCAGCTCTGAAACAAAAGTAACATGCCATTTCCTTTGGGGACATTCATTTTGGAATGATACCAAGCAGCCCAACAATAATATGGATGTTCTCGTGAGAGCTCTCTGACCCATTATATCAAAGTTTCATAAATCTATTAACTCTGCTTTAACCGGGTTGTTGTAGGTTTTTCGGGCTATACAGCCATGTTCCAGAAGCATTCCCTCCTGACGTTTCGCCTGCATCTATGGCAGGCTCACGCCGCTCCCCGGATTCGAACCTGTGACCTTTCAATCAGCAAGTTCAGTAGCTCAGTTCGAGTTAGTGTAGAATAAATCAATTGGATGTATATTAAAGGTTAACTAAGAAAATTCAATTTCTTCAATGAATCTGTTGCAACTGGGACTAATAACATTGACCTCCAAACCTGAGAGGTAAAGAACACTTTTTTAAAAAAAATAAAAATAAACTTGCATTATAGCAACTTTGCATTCTAAATGCAAATATGACATCATAGTTCCTCCATCAAGTACAGGCTTTTTTACAACTTGCTTTGATGCTTTTGTTTTGTGAGTAAGTTTTCTTTGAGTGAATAGTAAGAAAGGGGCTAAAGTCTTCTATCAGAATTCAAAATACTTTAATTTGCTGAAATGAAACACAAACACTGTTCAAATCATGGAAATGTAATCAAACCAACAGCTACACTGATAAAAATATCAAAATTGTGAAGGAACTGTGTGTGATACAACATTTTGACAGTGTTTTTAAAATTTCAGCACACACAATCAGGAAGCTTTTTCATTGGAGACCTGGGAAATTTGCACAAAAATTATTGTCTTCTTGATATTTTTGCATGTTGAAGTACACAGTAGAGATTCTTGATTAATTGTCACAGTGTCTGTTTGTATTACCTAGATTCATTTGGATTATTCTACCCTAAAGAGTTTACAAGAGTTTCCCCTATTATTATTGTGTTATGCCTGAGGCAAACTGCACAATAGGCTGAACACCATCTGGAAAAATGATTTCACCCTCTCTCTTTTTCAAAAACCAGTTTTAGGAAAAGTTCTGTATAATTCAAAAGTGTGTATATACTGCTTCGTGAGCAGCAGTTGGTTCTAGTCAAGGCATTGTTGATCCCTGGATCACTTGGAAAGATGAAACTCCGGCAAACTCAGAATTAGTAGAATTCTACCGAGAGACCCCCACAAACACAGGAAATTCCTTTTGACATTTTCCTTCAGAGTGACGTGGGAGATATCCAAAAGGGGAAAAGATGTTATAATGGAGCTTTCCTGTACACCGCAAGCATCACTACTTGTAATATTTTCCAATTCAAGGACACAGCAGGAAAAATAGCATGCAAGTAAGTCACAATGCAGTATTTTAAGATACATGTAAATATCTTCAATATGGGTTGTCAAACATCATTTGGACATGATTTCAACTACATTATGAACTTGACATCTTCTGTTTTATTATGTCGCACTAGTGATATCCAGGTTACATTTTATATGCTGAATTGCATATTCTATAAGTGTTAATTTTGTACTCATGGACTGCACCTTGTTTGCTGCTGCTCATCTCTTCCTTCCTACAGTATTTTATGACACATTATAAAAAGTATATAAAGGCTGCTTTTATTGTTGCTGTTTTGCTCCAAGTCTCTCTTTGGGGTGGGAAGGACGGGATATAAATGCTCGAAATAAATAAGTAAGTTTGGGTTTTTTTTCCATGTTACTAGTATGGCCATCTGCAAGGACACTGCCCAAGGGATGCCCAGATGTTTGATGTTTTATCATCCCATAGGAGGCTTCTCTCATGTCCCCGCATAGGAAGCCTGAGCTGACAGACAGGTGCTCACCCTGCTCCCCAGATTCGAACCGCCAATCTGTCAGTCAGCAGTCCTGCCAGCACAAATGTTTAACCCATTGTGCCACTGGAGGCTTTACACAACACGCTAAATTGCTGCTGATGTGTGTCTTCAAGTCATTTCTAACTTATGGCAACCCTAAGGTGAACCTGTCATGGGGATTTCTTGGCAAGATTTGTTGAGAGAAGGTTTCCCTTTTCCCTCCTCCAAGGATGAGACTTGCCCAAGATTGCCCATAACTATTGCAGTTTTGTCACAGATGATTTGCCAGATCAAATACTTGTTTGGAGCTAAAGAACAAACTGGCATTGTAAAATGAAACAGGCAAGAAAAGCGTATAGTGGTTTTGCTACTATAAGAACACCATGCATAAGATAAGGTGAAGTAAATGTTAGTACTGTGACAACTGTGATATAACAGACATTGTAGGAAACTCAGACCTGGAGGGCAGGGAGAATACTAGCGAAGGGTACAGAAACATAGCCATAGAAAAAGCTTGTATAAAAGAGAGACTGCCTCCAAACTCTGTGTGAGCCCTCTGTCTTCTGAGAGCCAAGCAACATGATTTCAGCCATTTGGCATGACATACCTATCATTGGACTATATCTCTTCTGGCTGCCCATAAGAGATCAAATCTTCCAATGCATCTTTATATAGCTGACAACCTTCCTCCACATGCAAAATGAGCCTGTTGTGAGACAGAAGGTTCCAGTGTAGAATTATCCCTGACCAGATTTTAGAAAGGCTATGTTTTTAAACTGCTACTTCTAATGGCCAGACTTACTGTGGGATTGTGGGAGTGATAGTCCCAAACCATGACTGTTCAAAATGATCTCTCAGCCACACTTTGATCATTAAATGCATATTTGTGTGTAGTTCACTTTGAAGCAGGGGAACATTCAAACATTTTGCCACTTCATCTCCTTCTAATGCAGTCTGAAGTGACACAGCTCAACAAATGCACACATCAAGTGAGGCCATTGAGCGTTGGCACTGGGTTTCAAACAAGCTGCAGCCTGGAGAAAATGTGCTTATACATTACCTCCAGCCTGGCTGCTTCCTACTTCCCCCATCAGGAACTCCCTGGTAGCAAAGCCACGAGAGCTCCGTGAAGGGCGCTCCTTTTCCTCACTTCCTGGCAGAGCTGTGAGGGACGACCTGTGGCCTGCGAGAGGGAGCCAACCAAACAGGTAAATGAAGCTTAATGGGAAAGAGGCAGAGGAAGCTGACTCAGACCTTTGGGCAATTTTGTTGACACAGACTGGGAAGCAGCTCTCTGGGATTTTATGCTTCCTTAGCCCTCTTTGGCAATGCAGATAATTAAGTCTAGGACTTTCTGCCAAGAAAGCATGCTCTCTGCCACTGAACGGTGGTTCCACTCTGAAGACAGAGACCGTATTAGAAGAGCAGCTCCACTACACAAATCCTATCTATATTTATTTATCTATCACCCACACAAAACCTGTCAAAATAACATAGACTTCTTTGGCTTAACTTGGGGGCTTTCACACTAAAATATTGCACTATGATTCCACTTTAACTATCATGTTTACATCCTATATACATCTAGGATTTGTAGTTTAATGAATCACTAGCACTCTCTGGTAGACAATTTTAAATGTTGGGTTGTTGTAGGTTTTTCAAGCTGTATGGCCATGTTCTAGAAGCATTCTCTCATGACATTTCACCTGCATTGATGGCAGGCATCCTCAGAGGTTGTGAGGTCTTTTAGAAAACGAGGAAAATTGGGTTTATATATCTGTGGAAAGTCCAGGGTGGGAGAAAGAACTCTGTTGGAGGTAGGTGTGAATGTTTCAATTGGCCACTTTGATTAGCATTTGATGAACTGATAGTTTTTTGGTGTGGCTTGTTACTGCCTGGGGGAATCTTTTGTTAACAGGCAATTAGCTGTTCCTGATTGTTGCTTGTCTGGGCTTCCCCTGTGTTTGAGTTTTGTTCTTTATTTACTGTTATAATTTTAGAGTTGTTTAATAGCCAGATTTTGTTCATTTTCATGGTTTCTTCCTTTCCGTTGAAATTGTCCACATGCTTGTGGATTTCAATGCTTTTCTGTGTAGCCTGACATGGTAGTTGTTAAAGTGGCCCAGTAATTCTGTGTTCTCAAATAGTATGTTATGTCCAGGTTGGTTGTTCAGGTGCTCTGCTATGGCTTACTTCTCTGGTTTTCCAACAGACCTCACAACCTCTGAGGATGCCTAGCATAGATGCAGGCAGAATGTCAGGAGAGAATGCTTCTAGAACATGGCCATACAGCCCGAAAAACCTACAACAACCCAGTGATTCCGGCCATGAAAGCCTTCAAAAATTTTAAATGTTCATCCCTAAACTGCAAATTTCAGGATCCCATAGGATACAGTTATGGCAACTGTACACAATTGCAATACTGTTAAAAGATACCACGCCCATACAGTTTTTCTAGTTGCATATCTTCAGTCTCTGAGAGCCACAGCATGTTCAAACGTGAACTATGATACTCCTTGGTGATTGCTCAGGCTGCTTGGAGGCAGGGATCATTCTTTCTTTTCCCTACAAAGCTTAGCTTGCAAAGAATGGCTACTGCCCAGTTTTCTGTCATATGCAAGGTGGATGTGTCAGAGCTAGAAATGTTACTTTTGGAATACAAATCTCAGAACACTAAGCCATGCTGTCTGGGATATTCTGGGAGCCACAGTTCAAAAAATAAGTAACATTTCAAACTCTGATCCATGATCTTAGTCATTGAGAAGCAAATCAACTTACTTCTCAGGCCCACCTCCTTATCTGTATAGGCCCACACATGGTTTTGTGTCCTGGTCTCAGTAGAGCTGGCTTTCATGTAGAAGCATAACCCACACTCCTTGGAAGCCTGCATGGCAAATCTGAAGGGTGTGGGGTTTGCATACATGGCTCAGTTAAACTGGGGGAGCACAGACACAGTGGGCACGGATGGACTGCACAGAGAGATTTGTCATGTCCTCAACCTTTATGGAATACACTGTAAGGTTATTCAGTTCATCTCCTTTTTCCTCATTTGGGGGGAAAATAGTGCTCTGAATGTATTCGCTCATTTCTGAAACCAGAAAGGGTGTAAACTTCTTTACAGTGCATTGAAATATCAGGATTCTACGCTATTTATAGGCCCAGAGAATTAAGTGAAGAAGTGAGATATTTTTTTCTATTTCTGGAGAAAAATACATCTCCCTAATTGGGAGAAACCATAAATACAAGTTGAACTCTCCTGAAGGAATGACAGAATATGATTGCGACAATTAAGCAAATTCCACAGGTGCTTTAGGGCAATGTTACTCAAACTGATATCTGGACCACTGCCATTTCCTGAAACATTGGCTGCTGGTAGTTAACAAAATTCCATGAAAGAAAGAAATAAGTGTACCCAATGGGCACAAATATAGTGCTGGTTCCTGGCACATGGGGAAAAAATGCTAGTCCCCTATATCAGATAGCTTAGGAAGCACTGTTTAATGCAGATGTTAACATGACATTTCTGCAATTAGACTTTGAGCTTCTTTATCCAAATCTACCAATGTGACTGGACAATTCCTTCCATCATTTTTAGTGTGGTACCTCATGGATTAAACAGAATTTTACCAACCAATGGTAATAGGTCATAAGCTGGCTTCAGAATAGATCTAGATGGCAGTTTGATTCACATGTACTGTCAACAAGCAGTCCGCAAAATCCAATGCAAGTTGCAATGGGACTAAGCAGAGAAGCAGCGATATGGGCACCTCACTATGGTTTAACCTCAATGCAGAAAAAGTGAGCCCAAATTTTGGGCAATATGAATTGGTTTGAAATGTCATGTATTATGTCAAATGAAGTCTGGGGCAGGCCATGTTTTTGGTTGTGGAAGCGAGAAGAGCCAAGTTCCTATTTTGGATAACAAGAGATTTGATCTTTCCTAATTGATGACATTAACAGCTCTTGGAGCTTGAACCTCCATTCAAAGGTAAACTAAACCTGTTATTAAAATTGTATTGTGCATAAACAAGTAAATAACATCGTGTTGTGCCATATGTATAGCCACATATTAAGGCCATTGTCTCTTGGCTACCATCTGTGAGCAAAAACCCTTCAACTCCATTATGTCATGTTTCTGAATGTATACTCTGAAGTATAATGTTTTCCATATTTTCAAAGGCACATACTGTCCATTATGTTAAGATAGACTTCCAGATATTACATTCTGGCCTCATATCGACTTTAGAGAAAAACATTGCCCCTGGTTTCTGTTAAGTTGTTTGTACCACTGGGCTTTCCTGTCACACTTTCCCGCATGATACATTTCTACAGCAGTGCAGACAGGAAAATACTTACTATATGTGACCGATGATGCTGTTTAAATGATGAAAGGGCGCGGTGGCATGAGAGCATAAGTGGTTCTGTAAAAATACAGAACCAGATGTGTCCTGTTTCCTAAATACAGCCCAACAAAACTTGTGTCTAGTAAGACAACACTGTTTTTCTGCTCTTTTGTGTATTTCTGTGAAAGCATGTAAGCATAAAGTGAGTTATTGTTCAGTCCTGCATGTCTTGAGTTAATTTAGCTCCTGTAGGTTAAATCAGAGAGAAATTCAGAATGGTGAGAGCAATTTAGAAACACGTATCCCTTGCTCAGAAATGATACTTTATCTCAGAAGCAACATTTCAAGGAATGTGTGTGTGTCCAAACTGCTATTCTCCCTAGACCCTTCCATCTATTGTGGGAATTTCCTGGAGGCAAACAGCGGACAAGCCTTAATTTCCAATAAAATCATGAGAGCACCATCACAAGCTCAAATGAACTAAATTATCTGCCCTGAAGCAAATCAAGCAAGAGAATTCAATTGTGGATCTGAGATTGATGATGCGGTTGTCAGTACAGCACAGAAACCATTCATGACACTTGGCAGTCACAAAAACTCACCGGGCATCACTCCTTTGATATCACATTCTGTGCTCGTCCTATTCTTGCATGTTAAGTGCAGGATGAGCTTCTTTGCAGTTTCAAACTGCTGTGTGGCTACCAGCCACCGAAGAGATTCTGGGAAAAAACTGCAAAGATGAAGAATGCGTTATTGTCGGCTTCCAGGAAGTTGCTAGTAAAAGACAGACTATATATGTCAAACTACAACTGGTATACTCTTTGGAGAAGAATGATGTTGACATGTATTTCTTTTGCATGACTGATGAATTTCCATAGCAATTTATTTTATTCAGGGATAGAAAAAAATGCAAATATATGTCTTTTAAATGGTTAAAAACCTATTGAGAAACCCCAATGACAAGAACCTTTCCAATTCAGGACTTCTTTTCTGCAAGTTTGTACGTAGCTGATTTCTACAGAAAATGGTTTTATTTATTTATGATATTTCTACCCTGCCTTTCTCGAACCTGAAGGTGACTCAAGGTGGCTCCAAAGGTGTAATCCTTTACAGAAAAAGCTGTTTTGTGAGGATGAAACTGCCTGTTCTGTGTAGAAACTATTCGTATACACAGAAACTATTTTCTGCACAGAAAAAGGCCCTTTGCAGACAACCTATTTACTAGTCACATTAACCATGTGCAAATTTTATGCGACTAAAGCATTTTCTTAACAAGAAACAGTGTTTATTTGTAGAAATTCATTTCTGTGCAGAACAAGCTGTACCTGTGAATTTTGTGCAGAGTAAGTTCCAAATTGTGGACAGATTGTGAAAACTGCACAATTGAAAATACTTTCTTGCAGAGGGAAGAAAATAGCTAAATGGACTTGTTGCTTCCTTTGAGAAGAACATTGATGAAAATGGCACCCCTCACTTTGTTTCATTTTAAGAGAAGGAACCAGTATTATTTTCTGAGACAAGCTTGGCCTGGTTTCCTTTTTCTTCTTCTTATCAAGTACTAAAAGAGAAAAGCCAGGAACCACTTCTGCCCAAGTATTTTTGCTATTTCTCTGGGAGAAGAGTGTTAGCACTCAAGTCTTGCTGTTACATCAATTTAAAAAAGTTTGTGTTTATACCATTTTACATTTAATAACACTAATTCTTAAGCAATTTCCTTAAAAACATTAAATTAAAAATCATTTGAAAGTATTTAAAGCATACAGCAATATATTAAAATAAAACAAATTAACTGTTAGGAAAGTAACATGTCTGGTATTTGACCATGAAGACAGCAAGTTAAAATCACTATTAATTTTAAAAACAAATTAAGGCTCACTTTAAAAAAATGTGGAATCTCCTCCTCCTAAACTCCCCAACCTTTATATTTATAATACTATGTAACATGATTTTAATCCTGGTTTATAAATGTCATTTCCTAATTGATTCTATCATAAAAACATGGAAAAAGTTCATTAAACTGCAAAAACCTTTGTTTTTGCGGTCTGCACATTCATTAAGGAAAATTACAAACAAAGTGCTTAGAATGAAGGAAATAATAGTACTACTTTCAGTCACAAAAACAAAGTTTCTGGAGTATAACAATTGTTTTCAAAACAAGTAGCACACAATTAAACAGGAAATAACACTTTCAAACCAGGAACATATATTTTTTTAAATTTTATTACATAGTATAATTATTATTACTGTTTTAGTGGAGTGTTAATTTGTATTGTTTTTAACATATTTTAACCTACCTGAAGCCTCATTATTGGAGAAAAGAAGATAGAAATTATAACAATGATGATGATGATGATGATATAGTACTACCACTGTATCTACAGGGAATACTTTCCAGCACCTCCTGTGAATACCTGAAACCCGCAGATGATAACAAATCCTACACTTTGACTATACTTGGGCCAAAGGCACACTGCAGAACACCACTGCAATTTGTGGACCTCTTTAGGGGCATGCCTACACTGGCCAAAGCACTCAAATCAAGTCAGAAGTCACTCCTGAATGTCCACACAAAATCAAGGGACCTCTGGCCCATAACACTGGGAGATGAGTTAATTCAGTTTTACTTCACATTAATAAAAGTTTTGCCACAATTCCAGAGATGCAGACAGCTTGTCCAGTTGTAATTTGAACCAGTATCATCATTCACTTTTCCCTGTGCGCCATGGTGCAATGAAAAGGGATGAACTTACATATGCTGTGCCAGGCAACATACGAAAGAAAGAGAGGATGTGTCATTTCAGCTTTGTTATCAGAAGCATTGTGATATGACAAGGTGTGATCAAAACAGGGGAAATGCAAAGGCTGACAGTGGCATAAACAGTGTAGGAAATGAAAAGAAAAGGATACATACAGTGTCATCAGGGCAGAGAAGAAGGGAAGGGAGGGGAAGACAGAGAAAAGAGAGACAACCAGAATAGTTTCTGGAGAAACTGGAGTAGGCAAGGTCTGCAATTATCCATGATTGTTGGGTAACTGCTCTTCAGGACACAGTTAGCTTGAGCCAGGCTGAAATTACCTTAATTATCTTTTCATCCCTTTCCCTGGGAAAAAATCTGTTTCTTGACAACCCCAACATTTTTGTTAGATATTCATGTATTTCAGCTGTTACCTCCCAAGTAAAATAATGTGTTGTTCTTTTTCCACAGGAAAATAGAAATCAAGGTCTGGGGGAGACGACCCTTTTCTTTTCCTGCCTCCTAAAAATTCTCATATCGCTAACCCAGAAATAGATAGGCGGGGCATTGTGAAAAGGAGGTGCTAAAAGCGCACAACACTTCTCACTTAAGAGGTTATTTGGGGGTGAGGGGTCATATAGTGTAATAGCTACACCAGCCTAAATTTGTTAAAACACAGGTTCATTTTTTTCATTTTCTAATTTGAGAAACAACAACAAATCTAGGAATGTATGTTCTACGGATACGGAGGGTGTGCTATAAAACTGCTTGAAAATACAACTGAATTAAAATAAAAATGTGATCAGCTAGATCACATGGTAGACCTATGTCGCCAAACAGAGCAAAAAAAAAAAAAGGTTCCCAATTTCAATTATTTCCAGTTTTTGATGGTGCCTGTTCTCTCTCCATCAAATTTTAAAGTCCTTGTGGTTATACTTTTACCAGGCTAGCCTGAAGGGGTCATAATTATCTGTACAAACTTTTGAAACAAGTGCCTTTCTTCATCAAGCAAGTATTATAAAAAGGGAAAAGAAGTGATGACATTAAAGTCACATAGTCTGCCTGTTGCCTTCAGGCAGTATAAAGGAAGGACAAGCAGTCCATCAAACTACGCTGAATAGACCGCACTCCCTGATGGCCTCGACCTCTTTGGGAACAAACAAGGCAATAAAAGAAGAGTAATAAAATGTAAGAGGACAAATAAAGCAAATCTATTAAGAGCAACTGAGGTTGGGGGAGGGTTCACTTGCAAGGGAGAGCTGGGGAATAGGAGAAGAGCTAAAAACCCCTCTTCTACATAAATACCCTCAATGACCACCTAAATAATGTAAGAAAGTATAAATATAAATAACATCAGGTAATACAGGGTGAGGCAGCATAACTTCCTTTTTTAAAATGCGCTCCATTCAGTCGGTTGAAGATGTAGCGGAGAACTAGTAGTCTCGTTCGAGAGGCGGGAGTATAAAGTTTTGTCCTGACACAGTTCAGCCGTCATCACGCATTAGAACAGTGAGGAGCGTGCTTTTGCTGTTGAGGCCTACTTTTCGAGCGGATTTGGAGTGGTCAGCCCGCTCTCCAGATTTGGTCCCTTGGTTTTTTGAAATCCCATGTTTATGTGAACCATCCAAGGACCCTACAAGATTTGAAGACCAACATCCAGGAAGAAAATGCTAACGCCTGCTATGCTGGCAAGAGTCATGACAAATGCTAGAAATCGGTTTATTCAGTGTATGGAGAATGGGGGACATCACCTACCTAATTTGATCTTCAAAACTACGTAAAACAAAACTTTAGGTATGCGCCTACATTATAAATAATTTTTTTTAAAAAAAATCTGATTTCTACAATGGGTTTTATTAAGTTTTGAACAAAGGAAGTTATGCTGCCTCATCCGGTATAAAGTATTCCAACTTCTCCTGATAATATCTAGTGTTGGCACAGACATCCAATCTTATTTGCAGCAGACTAAGAAAATCTTTACTTATACAATAGTTTCCAGAATCAATATAGTGGCTGGGGGATTCTGGGAGTTACAATTTTAATTCTGCCACTGACAGAAAAAGAAAAAAGAAGAAACTTGCAAATACTTACAACCAGTACAGTAACATCAACAGGAAAGGGCAGATGATGACAGCCTGGAGAACTTGCCAGTCCCTGCAGAGAGCAGCCAAACCTGGCATGAGGAATTGGCCTGCCATCGCTACAAAACTTGCCACCATTGTGATCATGAAACGGTGATCGGGAGGGCAAAGCTCTATCCCTGAAAAATGAAAAGGAAAAAAGAAAAAAGAAATAAAGTACGTCCACTTCGAGAAAAGCATTCCACAGTTATAAATTCAGTTACAAGAACCTGCACAACAAAACTGCATTTGAAATTGCAGCTGAAATGTTCTGCATAGCAATGCAATATTTTTAAGAGAGAAGTTTTACCCTTGACATACTCTAGACTAGGTAGACCATAGAAAAATTACCTTTTGGATTTCCACAAATCCATCAGCATGCACAACTACTGGTTATGCTGGTTGGATGATTTTGAGATCTGGTGTCTATAAACGGCTAATTTTTCTTATCCACGAAAGCAGGGATGTACAAGTCATAGTTGTGGGACCATCTGTATCCCTTGCTTATTACAGTGCGTATTCTAAAGCTGGCTCCCACCCAACAGTCCAGCTGATCAACTAGATATAGTTGTTCAACATATCAAGGCTATGGCCTTGATATGTTAAACAACTAATTACAACTAATTATTACAAAAATATGTAAGACTACCTCATTTCATCTTCTACTTCTACTCTGAACTCTTTTGACATAGGGAACTCATGAAAACATGGAGTATATAGAACTTGTCTTACATTTATGCATTTTATTCAGTTTACTGTATCAATTTTCAGACTCAGTTGTATGGAATTCTAAAAATGAAGAATATATGTTAATGGAACCTCTGTATTCATTTTGCTTATGTCTTGTTTCAATTTACTAATGCATATAACTCGTTTGTTTGTCTTATATGCTCCCTTTCCCCCTGCCATAGGACCAAGACAGCTCGCAAAGGTAAAAAAGTAAGATTAAAAACGATGTAACAAGAATGATATAATAAAAGGTTAAAAGGCAATGAAATGACATCACATTAAAACAGCACTACATTAAAAAAAATATGAAATTGTTTTGAAATGTCTAAAAATCATAAAATTGTTTTAAAACATAACAATACAATTAAAATACAGCATGCACGCACCAAAATCTCCCTGACGACAATAAATTATTAAATGGCTTTTGAATAAAAAGCTCTTTGTCTGCTGGGAAAAGCAGGGCTGCAGGGAGGAGGAGAGATAGTGAAGACATAGCCTAACCTCCCATGGAAGGAAATTCCATAGGATATCAGAAGTGTTTGACAAAGTTCTCTTATTCTTATTTAACAACCCCTAAAAAGAGCAATGTGCTCATTTCTAGAATATAACCTTTAAAAAAAAGTATCATAAGACTTCCCCTTCATCACCTTTCACCTTTAAACTAAAACATCTCAGGATTACATGGGATGTAGCAATGATGGCTCTCTTAAACTTGAGAGCTCTATAAACAGTAGCAAACATGTGGCTTGGAAACAAAGGTGTTCTGAGTGTTATCACTGAGATGGCAATGCCTGTTTACAGAGAAGGCCTCCATAGACTGTATGCAAGGACTGTTTCCAGTTCAAAATATTGTCGGCTTACAACTGTGATCCCAGCTTAGCAGCATTTATCCTCAGAGGAATGCAGGCAATTGCGTGGTCTTCTTTGTTGCCAGCGGAGGCCAAAAAGGAAGCGCCACATTGTCCATTCCACTTATTATAGACACAAAAAATAAACGTGCTAGTGGAAAGGCTTAGTCACACATGTCACAATGCACAACCCCTGCATTTGCCTAAAGACCAACAGAAATGAGGGGAGTGGGGAGGGGAGAAGAAACATATTTCCATAAGCAGAGATTGGGGATGTTACTTTTGGGGCTGCACATAATCAGTGCAGACAATTCTGAGAGTTGTAGTACCAAAAAAACCCCCAAGTAAATGTACCATATATTCCGGCATATAAGACGACTGGGCATATAAGATGACCCCCAACTTTTCCAGTTAAAATATAGAGTTTGGGATATATTCGCCGTATAAGACTACCCCTCTTCCAATGCACACCAAATAAAATTTTTATAAGCATCAGATTTGATTTCAATATGGTAATTTTCCTATTACTGTATCTCCTTCTCTGCCTCTCAGATCTTGCACCTGCGCACCTGCACCGCTTCACTGCAGTCTTCAGGAGAGAGATCTGAGAGCCAGAGGAGGAGGTATGGAAATAGGATACAAGGGCGGGCCAGACAGGTAAAAGAGGTGTGTTTTTCTGGGCCCAGAGCCACTCTACCTCTTTTTTCCATACCCTGGGTGCCACGGATGCCTGCAGCTTGCAACGCCCTTCACTTACACCTTCCTGATGAGGTGCCCCTTCACCTCACCATTGGGACAGCATTAAGTCCACAAATCCTGATGAATGGATTTTCTTCTACCGTACTTGTACAGCGTCACCCTTAATGCTTTCATACAGTCACTGCATACGGCAAGGACGCGGCCATTGCCATTTTTGAGCTCCCCCCACCATATGCGGCATCCACAGATTCTCCAATCTGATTGGAAGTTTCAGCACCCGCTCTATAAGATGACTCCCGTGTATACGACGACTCCCACGTATAAGACAATCCCTGACTTTTGAGAAGATTTTTTGGGGTTAAAAAGTAGTCTTATACACCAGAATATACGGTATATGATTTATGATCAAAAGGTTGGGAGGAGCAAGTAATAGTTCTAGTTTCTGAAAATGATACAGCCACACAAAACAAGTATATCCACCAGAGGTGTGGACTAATGGATGCCACAGGAAACCCTTCCATAAGCAATCAAAAATAGGATTTAAGTAGATGAGAATCTATTCTGTCAGACAGCAATGTATATTTACAAACTAGCACAGGCATTGCTTGGAAAAGTTCCCCTTTGGCCTGCAACTCCCAGGTTTTCCTGGGCAAGATTATGGGAGTTGTACTGAAAAGGAATTTTTCCAAGCTTTACTTGCGGGATATCAATAAATGCTGCCTATGTTTTTCTGCCCAAGGGCATGGGTGTCTTGAAGTGATAGGTTGTCTGTGTTCAAGTCTCCTTCCAACACAGGACACATGAGTGGGAAACCCGACTGGACTCTAGAGGGCAAACTAGACTGGCTGCTGTTCCCTATGATGAACTGCCTTCCACCCACACACTCATTTTCCCGTATCACTTTGCTGCATCTTAAATAAATAACTTCCTGTATATCACAAAGAGCATGGCATTCAACTGCTAAGCATATCATATTTGCAACTAAGTTCCTGATTTTCAACTATCTCTGCCAAAGAAAAGGCATTACACTGGTACATTCATAATCATGGGAAACATATATTCTTGTTTAAATTGTTTTATGTACAAGTCAAAAAATCCACATATATTTCATGTTCTTTTGGATATTATGGCCTACCAGGTATTAAACATGCTAGATTCTGAGGAACAATTTTTTTATCATGTCAGCAGCTACTTGAGAATATACTGCAAGCCACTTCTGGTGTGAGAGAATTGGCTGTCCAGGTGATGGCCAGATGTGCTTCCATCCTGCTAGGAAGCCTTTCTCATGTCCCTGCAAGCTAGAGCTGACAGATGGCAGCTCACCCCATCTTGTGGATTTGAACTGGCAACCTTCAGGTCAGCAGCCCAACCTTTAGGTCAGCAGTCCAGCCGGCACAAGGGTTTAACGCATTGCACCACCGCGGCTCTCTGAGGAACAAATTTAGAGTAATGACTGTGTTGTAAAAGGTCTAAGAATCAGAGCTCGGAAAAAGTAATTTTGGATGACACCTCCCTCCCAGAAATCTACAATTCTTATAGCTAAAACAAACTTTCACAAGATCAGTTCCAGACAGATCAGCAAAGATTCATAGTAATTAAGTTCTCAAATCACTTTCTTCTTGAATATTTTACATTCCATTTTTATCCACTTTCATTCTTACAACACTAAGTGCTATTTTTAGCCATAAACTATCAAACCTGCCACCTACTTCTGTAACACATACCAAACAAATTATTCAGGGCCCTTAAATCAGATCTTTTTGGAAACTTGGTCAGTAAAAGCAACAACCATCACCCAGTTATAGACATATATTTTTGCAAGTCTCCAACAAAGTATTGTTATTGTATAGTCGAAGGTTTTCATGGCCGCAATCACTGGGTTTTTGTGTGTTTTCCAGGCTGTATGCCCATGTTCCAGAAGCATTCTCTCCTGACATTTCCCTTGCATCTATCCAACAGACCTCACAACCTCTGAGGATGCCTGCCATAGATGTAGGTGAAACATCTGGAGAGAATACTTCTGGAACATGGCCATACAGTCTGGAAAACACTCAACAACCAAGTATTGTTATTCCTACTTTTGCTGGAAAGATACACCAATTTCTGAATACAGGGTTATCAATAATTTTTTATGCAGGTTTTGGATTTTGGGCCACAATGCTAGCTTTCTGCATAGAATATTTTAATTTAAAGAACTAAAATCTGTGAGTTGCTGTGAGTTTTCTGGGCTGTATGGCTATATTTCAGAAGCATTCTCGCCTGACATTTCCCCAAATCTATGGCAGGTATCCTCAGAGGTTGTGAGGTCTGTTGGAAACTAGGCAAGTGAGGTTTATATATCTGTGGAATGTCCAGGGTGAGAGAAAGAGCTCTTGTCTGCTTGAGGCAAGTGAGATTCCCAGGCAGGAAGTAGCCAGGCTTTGAAGCTGAAAGGCCCTTCAATGCTAATCAAGGTGACCAATTGCAACATTCACACTTGCCTCAAGCAGACAAGAGTTCTTTCTCCCACCCTGGACATTCCACAGATAGATAAACCTCACATCGGGAAAGAATGCTTCTGGAACATGGCCTTACAGCCTGGAAAACTCACAGTAACCCAATGATTCCTTCAACAATACATTAAAATCTAAATCTTTGTGATACAGCTGAAAGGCTGAGGACCGTTGCCTAGATTGGCTGCGAAGTCTGGGTGTTTTAGTGGAAAAAAGAATCCCATCCCCCAACCTCTATCTCCCAGATGGCTACCTATTTCTCTCTTCTGCTATGTTACCTCTTGGGCACTGTTTTCCCCTATTGCATCAGTCTGGTAGACATCTCTGCCTGGGGACTCCACAAACAGACTTCTAGTTCCATTTCTTTGTCCT